GAGCCGTCGCAGCGCCCGCAGGCCGCAGGCCGCCAGCTCCTGGCCCAGATCGGGGAAGTAAAAATTCTGGTTTTCAGTAGAGAAGGTACTGAAACTGTACACATGGAGCTCCTGTATCGATGAGGCATGGGCACGAATCAAAGACAGCATAGTAGACTTGTGCAGAGTATTGAAGCACACGCTGAGCCACAGCAACCTGCTATGCTGCGAGGGAGGGAATGTCAGATTTGGACCATGGTAATTATACACCAGCAAGCTACGCAGCCTGGGCATGTGCTCCAAACAACGCAGCTGATTCTCCGTGATTCGATCAATGTGGAGCTCCTCCAGCTGTAACGGAAGGTCCGGGAAGTCCACTTCCTTAGCGCATTGAACTTTCAGTCTTCTGAGTGCCGACAGTTTCTGCACCTCCTCCATGACGCTGGGCTGAACCTCTCCCGAGATCTCCAGCTCCTCGAGGTGCGGCCCCATGACCCGCAGCAGGTCCTCAGAGCCGCCGCCCCTTAACGCCTTCAGGCTGCGAGGGATTGAGCATTTCTGCGGGATGTCACGAAGAATGTCATTCACTTTTAGGCGACCATTCTCGAGGTGTTCATTATTTATCCTTAGGACGGAGATAAGGGGTGGCCCTACGTAAGCCGCAGCACGGGTGACAGCAGGAGCGGTGATGACGATGTCGTCGTGAACCTAGAGCGGGCAGAGAGCGGCTGTACATCTTGACATCGTCAGTGTAAGTTCTTTCCATCAGATTGGTGACTCACCTTCCCCAGTACGCCATCGTCCCACAGCTGCAGCAAGAGAAGGCGCAATAAGTTGTCGCCGCACCCGCCGGACTGCGCAGAGGCCGTCCAGGCGGACCCACCCTCCTCTTCGGAAGCGAAGGTGCACTTGTTGGAGATGGAGGTAAGCAGGTGGTGGATGGCCTTCAGCTGCTCCGCCAGCTGCAGCGGCTCCTCCACGACGACGTCCGACGTGGTGCCCACATCGCCGGCCGCCTCCCGCTGCACCCGCCTCTTCAGGGCCTCCTCCACTTGTCCAAGCCAGGCGACCGACGACTCTAGCTGGCGGTTCAGCGTTTCGACCGCTCGAGGCACCATCAGCCGCAGCATCTCCACCACCCTTCTCCCCGCGTCAGCGCCCCGCTGTAGCTGCTCCAGCTCTAGGTCCTCGATCTTAGGCATTTTGCAGAGTGGTGCGTCGTCGAGGACGAGGACGTCCTCGTTCTCCAACAATTGGACAGCTAGTACGTTGTCGGGTAGGTCCTCAGGTCGGCGTTGCCTAAATGCCTACACCAGGTAATGGAAAACAAATAACTTTGGTGTGAGAGAAATGCAAAAGTTAC